AAAATACAGTTCCCTACAGTCACTACAAAATAGTTCCCTACAGTCACTACAAAATACAGTTCCCTGCAATCACTACAAAATACAGTTCCCTACAGTCACTATAAAATACAGTTCCCTACAGTCACTACAAAATACAGTTCCCTACAGTCAATATAAAATACAGTTCCCTACAGTCAATATAAAATACAGTTCCCTACAATCACTACAAAAAACAGTTCCCTACAGTCACTACAAAAAACAGTTCCCTACAGTCACTACAAAATACAGTTCCCTACAGATTTTTAAAGAAGATATTGTCCACTCAGTAACACAAGAGAATACTCATCAACAGGTATTTTCTGGATACAGTTCCAATACTACATAACACTACATAAAAAACTACAGAATCTGTAATCTTTTCCCCCTAAATGATGTCGTACGCGTCTAAATAATAAAGATACGTATAAAATTAACGTCTACAGCCGTCAGAAAATGCACGGATGAGAGGATTAATCTACAGGTTATTTATCAAACCCCCAAAATCATCATTCACATCCATCAATCAATCCCACTTGGTCTTTAATCAATCACATGGCTAATCCAACTTTTCTTCCCTTCAACTTACAAATAGTAATCGCGAGACGGATTGACGTTAGACGGATTGACGCGGATGCTAATTCTGGATGACGGCATCGACTGGAATACGCTTCAAGATGTTGTTCATAAAATCTTCACCGAACGTTAGCATTTGCCTCAGGATCGCTGGTTTAATCTCTTCAAGAATTACCTTTGCGTTCGTGTTCAGAAATTTGTTCACCACTTGTTCTGTAACGGTGAAGAATACTGTTATACCGACCAATGGCATGAACCGTGTGGTGGCTATGTTACTTTTGATTGGTCGTATTATGTGGGATATAGTTTGTCATTGTTTGTATACCTACACTGTCTAGGTACACTGTATACCTACACTGTCTAGGTACACTGTATACCTACACTGTCTAGGTACACTGTATACCTACACTGTCTAGGTACACTGTATACCTACACTGTCTAGGTACACTGTATACCTACACTGTCTAGGTACACTGTATACCTACACTGTCTAGGTACACTGTATACCTACACTGTCTAGGTACACTGTATACCTACACTGTCTAGGTACACTGTATACCTACACTGTCTAGGTACACTGTATACCTACACTACACTATATACCTACACTGTCTAGGTACACTGTATACCTACACTGTCTACACTGTATACCTACACTGTCTAGGTACACTGTATACCTACACTGTCTAGGTACACTGTATACCGACACTGTCTAGGTACACTGTATACCTACACTGTCTAGGTACACTGTATACCTACACTGTCTAGGTACACTGTATACCTACACTGTCTAGGTACACTGTATACCTACACTGTCTAGGTACACTGTATACCTACACTGTCTAGGTACACTGTATACCTACACTGTCTGGGTACACTGTATACCTACACTGTCTAGGTACACTGTATACCTACACTGTCTAGGTACACTGTATACCTACACTGTCTAGGAACACTGTATACCTACACTGTCTAGGTACACTGTATACCTACACTGTCTAGATACACTATATACCTACACTGTCTAGGTACACTGTATACCTACACTGTCTAGGTACACTGTATACCTACACTGTCTAGGAACACTGTATACCTACACTGTCTAGGTACACTGTATACCTACACTGTCTAGGTACACTGTATACCTACACTGTCTAGGAACACTGTATACCTACACTGTCTAGGTACACTGTATACCTACACTGTCTAGGTACACTGTATACCTACACTGTCTAGGTACACTGTATACCTACACTGTCTAGGTACACTGTATACCTACACTGTCTAGGAACACTATACCTACACTGTCTAGGTACACTGTATACCTACACTGTCTAGGTACACTGTATACCTACACTGTCTAGGTACACTGTATACCTACACTGTCTAGGTACATTGTTTGTATACCTACACTGTCTAGGTACATTGTTTGTATACCTACACTGTCTAGGTACATTGTTTGTATACCAACACTGTCTAGGTGCATTGTTTGTATACCTACACTCTCTAGGTACATTGTTTGTATACCTACACTGTCTAGGTACATTGTTTGTATACCTACACTGTCTAGGTACATTGTTTGTATACCTACACTGTCTAGGTACATTGTTTGTATACCTACACTGTCTAGGTACTTTGTTTGTATACCTACACTGTCTAGGTACATTGTTTGTTTACCTACACTGTCTAGGTACATTGTTTGTATACCTACACTGTCTAGGTACATTGTATACCTACACTGTCTAGGTACATTGTTTGTATACCTACACTGTCTAGGTACATTGTTTGTATACCTACACTGTCTCAATTTTGTGTTTTGTATACCTGCACTATCCTAAATTTTATTTTGTATACCTGCACTGTCCTAGAATTTTACATTGTTGTATACCACTGTCTCAGTACATTGTTTGTATACCTACTGTCTCATTGTTGTTGTATACCATATCTAATTTTGTTGTTTGTATACTGTCTAGGTATTGTTTGGCCTTACACTGTCCTCATTTTATTGTTTGTATACCACTGTCTAAATTGTTGTTGTATACCTGCACTGTCTAGGTGCATTGTTTGTGTACCTGCACTGTCTAGGTGCATTGTTTGTATACCTGCACTGTCTAAGTACATTGTTTGTATACCTGCACCGTCTAGGTGCATTGTTTGTATACCTGCACTGTCTAAGTACATTGTTTGTATACCTGCACTGTCTAGGTGCATTGTTTGTGTACCTGCACCGTCTAGGTGCATTGTTTGTATACCTGCACTGTCTAAGTACATTGTTTGTATACCTGCACCGTCTAGGTGCATTGTTTGTATACCTGCACTGTCTAAGTACATTGTTTGTATACCTGCACTGTTCAGGTACATTGTTTGTATACCTGCACTGTTCAGGTACATTGTTTGTATACCTACACTGTCTAGGTACATTGTTTGTATACCTACACTGTTCAGGTACATTGTTTGTATACCTACACTGTTCAGGTACATTGTTTGTATACCTACACTGTCTAGGTACATTGTTTGTATACCTACACTGTTCAGGTACATTGTTTGTATACCTACACTGTCTAGGTACATTGTTTGTATACCTCACTGTCTAGGTACATTGCTTGTATACCTACACTGTTCAGGTACATTGTTTGTATACCTACACTGTTCAGGTACATTGTTTGTATACCTGCTCTGTCTAGGTACATTGTTTGTATACCTACACTGTTCAGGTACATTGTTTGTATACCTGCACTGTCTAGGTACATTGTTTGTATACCTACACTGTTCAGGTACATTGTTTGTATACCTACACTGTTCAGGTACATTGCTTGTATACCTGCTCTGTCTAGGTACATTGTTTGTATACCTACACTGTTCAGGTACATTGTTTGTATGCCTGCACTGTCTAGGTACATTGTTTGTATACCTACACTGTTCAGGTACATTGCTTGTATACCTGCTCTGTCTAGGTACATTGTTTGCATACCTACACTGTTCAGGTACATTGTTTGTATACCTGCACTGTCTAGGTACATTGTTTGTATACCTACACTGTTCAGGTACATTGCTTGTATACCTGCTCTGTCTAGGTACATTGTTTGAATACCTGCACTGTCTAGGTACATTGCTTGTATACCTGCACTGTTCAGGTACATTGTTTGTATACCTACACTGTTCAGGTACATTGTTTGAATACCTGCACTGTCTAGGTACATTGTTTGTATACCTACACTGTTCAGGTACATTGTTTGTATACCTACACTGTTCAGGTACATTGTTTGAATACCTGCACTGTCTAGGTACATTGTTTGTATACCTACACTGTTCAGGTACATTGTTTGTATACCTGCACTGTCTAGGTACATTGTTTGTATACCTACACTGTTCAGGTACATTGTTTGTATACCTTCACTGTTCAGGTACATTGTTTGTATACCTACACTGTTCAGGTACATTGTTTGTATACCTACACTGTTCAGGTACATTGTTTGTATACCTACACTGTTCAGGTACATTGCTTGTATACCTGCTCTGTCTAGGTACATTGTTTGTATACCTACACTGTTCAGGTACATTGCTTGTATACCTACACTGTTCAGGTACATTGTTTGTATACCTACACTGTTCAGGTACATTGTTTGTATACCTACACTGTTCAGGTACATTGCTTGTATACCTGCACTGTCTAGGTACATTGTTTGTATACCTACACTGTTCAGGTACATTGTTTGTATACCTACACTGTTCAGGTACATTGCTTGTATACCTGCTCTGTCTAGGTACATTGTTTGTATACCTACACTGTTCAGGTACATTGTTTGTATACCTACACTGTTCAGGTACATTGTTTGTATACCTACACTGTCTAGGTACATTGTTTGTATACCAACACTGTCTAGGTACATTGTTTGTGTACCTGCACTGTCTAGGTACATTGTTTGTATACCTACACTGTCTAGGTACATTGTTTGTATACCAACACTGTCTAGGTACATTGTTTGTATACCTGTACTGTCTAGGTACATTGTTTGTATACCTACACTGTCTAGGTACATTGTTTGTATACCTACACTGTCTAGGTACATTGTTTGTATACCTACACTGTCTAGGTACATTGATTGTATACCTACACTGTTCAGGTACATTGATTGTATACCTACACTGTTCAGGTACATTATTTGTATACCTGCTCTGTCTAGGTACATTGTTTGTATACCTACACTGTCTAGGTACATTGTTTGTATACCTACACTGTCTAGGTACATTGATTGTATACCTACACTGTTCAGGTACATCATTGCTCTGGCTACTCCACACTGTCTGTGTGTGCAATACTGCTTGTATACCTGCCTGTCTAGGCACATTGCTTGTATACCCACACTGTCTAGGCACATTGTTTGTATACCCGCACTGTCTACACATTGTTTTGTATACCCACACTGCTCAGGTACATTGCTTGCATACCTGCACTGTCTAGGTACATTGCTTGTATACCTGCACTGTTCAGGTACATTGTTTGTATACCTACACTGTTCAGGTACATTGTTTGTATACCTACACTGTTCAGGTACATTGTTTGTATACCTGCTCTGTCTAGGTACATTGTTTGTATACCTACACTGTTCAGGTACATTGTTTGTATACCTGCACTGTCTAGGTACATTGCTTGTATACCTACACTGTTCAGGTACATTGTTTGTATACCTACACTGTTCAGGTACATTGCTTGTATACCTGCTCTGTCTAGGTACATTGTTTGTATACCTACACTGTCTAGGTACATTGTTTGTATACCTACACTCTCTAGGTACATTGTTTGTATACCTACACTGTTCAGGTACATTGTTTGTATACCTACACTGTTCAGGTACATTGTTTGTATACCTACACTGTTCAGGTACATTGTTTGTATACCTACACTGTCTAGGTACATTGTTTGTATACCTGCACTGTCTAGGTACATTGCTTGTATACCTACACTGTTCAGGTACATTGCTTGTATACCTACACTGTTCAGGTACATTGTTTGTATACCTACACTGCCTAGGTACATTGTTTGTATACCTGCACTGTCTAGGTACATTGCTTGTATACCTACACTGTTCAGGTACATTGTTTGTATACCTACACTGTTCAGGTACATTGTTTGTATACCTACACTGTCTAGGTACATTGTTTGTATAC